TTTACATTGGCCGGACTGTTGTCATCATCTTTATTGAATGTTCAAGATGTTTCGGTTGTTGTATTTCGGCCCTTCTTCAGGTGATATACTTTTGAATTTCGAAAGAAAAAATTTTCGCCAAAAAACGTTGGTTTCAAAATAAAAAAGATTGTTTCTGAAAGTGTTTCATGATATTTTTGTAAATATGTTTATTGATATATAATATAAATATATTTATATATTATATTGGTGCAAAATATATAAATATATATGTGAGTTTTTGAAATTAAAAATAAATAAAAAAACTCATTATTACTGAATTATTTTTTGCATTAACCTAATGTCATATATATATATATATATATATATATATATATATATATATATATATATATAAAAAGAAAGAACAGTAAGATATATAATCCGGTGTTCTTATAGATATTTTTATTTTACAAAATAATGCTCAATGTAAATTTACATGGGCATTAATATTATAAAATTATATTCATAGCTTTCGACTTCCATTTTTGAAACATGTTTGAGAACTGTGCAACGAAAACATATCTTAAATCAATTAATATATGCATATATATATATATATATATATATATATATATATATATATATATATATATATATATATTGGCCGGTGTAGTGCAGTTCAATTTATATTAAATGAATTATTCATACAAAAAGTCGATTAGTAAAGTTAAAGATATGAAATGGTGAAATCCTTTTATTAAAAAAAATTAAAAAGTTATACAACTTATAATTGTTAAAACAAGGATCATAACATTCATCGAGTAATTTTTTGTAATTTTAGGTATATGCTCCTTTAAAATTTTGTATATATATGTACAGGGTGTCCATAAAATCCGTGTGCAGTTTAAAAAGTTATAAATTATTTAAAGTGCACAAGAACTTTATTGACATACTGTATCAACAATATTATATATATATATATATATATATATATATATATATATATATATATATATATATATATATATATATATATATATATATATATATATATAAATACATGAATTATTCACACAAAAACTAATGCAAAGGTTAATGATTTAAATGGCGAGACATCCATCATCGCAAACAATTCAAATAATATACAAAAACCTCCGAATCCGTTATGAATGAAATGATCCTTGTTTATATAAATTTCTGCCGTATTAGTTCTTATTTTTTTACAAGCTTTCGTCTGTTCCTACAGACATCTTCAGGTATAGAATAGATGTTGTTCTTGTTTTTTTTCTCTTAGTAATAAGAGGACAACGAAAATATATGTATTGTTGTATCCGAAAATGCTATTGAAAAATGAGTTATTGTTTTTTGAACGCGCAAAAGCAACGCTGAGTTTGATTTTAAAATTTTAAATTTTGTGCGTTCATTATATGGTATGAACAAATTTTTTACTGGTAAATTTTCTGTGAAACATGAACTATAAAAATAATAAATTTATTTATTCCAAAATCGTCACTTTGGATCATTATTTTAACAATTAAACAAGCAAACAATTTACAATATTTAAATTATTTATATTTTCAAATATATTTTCGGGATATATAAAAAATCAATTTTTGACTGAGGATATTTTAGATTGTGTTATGGCACTTTTTGAATTATATATAATTTTAAATAATATATAAATATATTTAGAATAGATATTTTTTTATTATATTTTTTTTTTTATTTTTTTATTTCTCATATATTTATTGTTTTATTTTTGTTTTAAAGTAATTTTTAATTTTTTTTTTTGAATTTTTAGAAATTTTTTTAAATATAAAAATTTTCCTTAGAGGAAAATATATTGGGGTATTAATTTTTAAATTTTTTATGTTTTACCATTGGTTTAATAATTAAAAAAATTGAAATATTTTTTATCGTATTTAAAAAGTTTTAAAAATCATCTATTTTGTTTAAAATTTGTAAAATCAATTTGTTTAACAAAATTTCGATTAAGAAAAATTATTTTATAATTTTTTAAATAAATTAATATTTGTTTGATTTTTAATGAAACTTAACATAAGAAATATTTATATTTATATATTTATATTTATTATTCCTTGATTTTTTAAATGAAGAATTAACAATATTTTATGTGTTATTTCAAATTTATTAAAAGAAATATATATTATATATATATAAATTTAATCCAGAAAGAAACACCTGTCCGATTGCAGATTTCAATTTTTCATTTTCAGAATATATAAAATATATGAGAATTCAAATATTTAAATTTATATTTATAATATATATTAATATAAAATGTTTTATATGTTATTCTCCAAATTTTTTCATTTGGTGTCTTTTTGTAGATTAAATTTTTGACGATGAAATTTCTGTTTTCAAAAATTTAAAATATTTATAAATTAATATAAAATTTATAGAAAATAAATGGATTCATTTTTTGGAATACCTCATATTATTTATTTTATTTTGTGTAATAAATAAATTTAACTAATATAAAAACATAGATTAATTAAATATTTTAAATTAATATGTTTTGATTTTTTGATAAAAATGATTTATATATATATTTTAAAATATATTTATATATATATATATAGATACATAAAATGTCCAGATAGATACAATACATGAGACATAACTGTAAAGATAAAGATTTCTTTTTTCAAATATAATTATTTTAAAAAATTTATAAGATTAAATTTTTTTGTTTTTTATCTATAATATAACATATTTTGACGTAGAAAATATTTAGAAAGTTTTATATTTTTAAATATTAAATATTTTTTCTTATATATTTTATTTATAATTAAATATTTAATAAATGAAAATTAAAGTATATTGGATTTCTTTACTTTAAAACATAGTAAATTTTAAAATATTTTTAAAAAATATTTCGATTTTATTTATTCCATATCATTTCATAATTTTATCATGATATATGTATTGTTTTTTTAAGTTATTATCAAAAAAATTTCTTGATATGATTAAAGAAATGGAAAATATTTTTGGTTTATTAGTGTTTGGCTTATTATTTGTATATTTATATATTGAATTATATTTACAAAAATATTCTTTTTGATTCATTTTTTATTTTCATTTGAAAAAATATCAAATTTTAGTTTGAATAAGAACAAAAATGCAATATAATTAAATCCAAATGGTCCCAAAAACAAAGAAAAAAAATTTTTGAAAAAATTAAGAACAGGAAATTTGATTCTTTCAAACATTCTCTTATTGTCCGACATTTTTTATCTCAAAAAAGAAGTTCTTTTTATTTTATAGAAATTGTAGTCATTGAAAAATTTTTATTTTTTAAAAAAACATTGCAGACAAATATATAAATTAACGACTGTTTAATTTTCAATAACATAAAAATTTGAAAGAAATATTCGAAGAAATATATTTGATCGTTTTGAAGACATATATGTTAAAGGTTTTTTAAATAATTTGATTAAATTTTCATAAAATCCAAACATAGTTTTTTTAAAGAATGGATAAAAACCATTTTTTGCATAAATGGATTTATGATAAATTTTATGACTATATTTTTAAAAAACAAATAAAAACCTATTTAATAAGTTTTTAATTGAATAGAACAACAAAATTTTCAACATTAAAATTTAAAATTAACCGGGAATAAACTCCTTTAAAAATAAAAAGAAAAGATTTTAAATAAATAATTTGAACAAAAAGTTTGTAATAATGTAAACATAAGTTTTATATTTATATTAATTTAAAAGTTCCAATTCAATTTTAATCAAAAAGATTGATTCCATTTTAATAACATTTGAAAAATTTTTCCAATTCTTAAATAATTTATAAAATATAGATGACGACAAAATAATTTAGGATTATAAATTTTATTAAAAATTAAATAAATTTTTATTAAATTATAGGATTAAAAAATAAAATGAATTTTTTTCATTTATGTGGTGTTTGTTTAAGAAAGATGAAACCAATACAATATTTTTTTAATCTGTTTTTTTTCGCTTTATCATTTAAGAAATATTCAAATTTTTTAAAATTAATTGCACAAATAAATACAAATTTTAAGTTAAGAACCGAAACTGCATTTTATCCAACAGGGTTGTATAAAATATAATAAATGTATTTGGTGTGTTACATGCTTGAAGTCGACATTGTTTGTGAGCAATGAAAAGGGTTTTGGAGAGATGCACAAAAAAGAAAAAAAAAAAGCATCTGATTTCCAGAAACAAAAAATGCCAAAACTTTGAAGATAAATTGGAAAAGAAATTTAAATTTTGTTCTTGATTATTAATGTTTAAAAATGAGTACATTTGTTAAATTTCCACTGAATGAATATTCAGTTATCAATTTTCATCTATTTATTAAAGTATTTTAAATGAAATCTCAACCATATGAACTTTAAAAAATGCCTTAATTGACCTGGTTAAATATTAACCATTTACGATAAATCTGAAAAAAAATATTACAACCTCAGAATAAACAAAAAATTCATTTTTTTATATATATTAGCTATGTCGTCCTTAATTTTCAGAATGAATTTATAACTTAATAGCCTTTAATATGATATATGTTTTATATTATATATATATTTTATATATATATATATCTATTTATTTATAAATATATATATATATATGTTTTACAATTTCTAGATGGGAAACGAAATATAATTATATCTATTTTTTATATCAAATTATATAATATATATATTCTATACATTTTTAAGGTTAGAATCAAGTTTGTTTAATGCTTGGGGATCAGATAATATATATTTTTATATATAAACTTATATTTAATTTTTATATTTGCAAAATTAGATAAATTCTTTAAAATTTTCAAAGTAGAGAAAATTGCTAAAATTCCAAAAAACAGAATGAATTGAGGATTGTGATTAAAATATTGATAAACTATCAAGATAAATCCTTTTTGCTAAAAAAAAGTCAGTTTAATTTCAAAAATTAATTTAGATTTTTTAAAAATATTTCGAAAAAAAAAATTATCTTTTTAGAATACATACCTATTTGTTCAAATTTCAAATATTTTTTATGCCAAATATCCTAATTCTTTATTTCATTTCAGATAAATATTTTAACAAAGTTTGAACAACACAATATTTTTGTTATTTTTTTCATCAAACTGATTTTCGTTTATATATTTTTATTCCTTATTCAATAAAAATATTTATATATATTTTATATTTTAATTATATCTTTCAATTTTCTTGGATAAGATCTTTATCAAAATATTTATCTAAAAAAGAAATACTTTCATTTTCTCTATATTTGGATTTTTTTCTTCTAACATCTTCATAACAATCAAAAAAATTATTTATCTATCTATCTGTATATATATCTCTTTCAAAGAATAATTGGATAGTTGTCATTTATATCTATGCATTATTATTATTATATCAGTTATTTTATCTTTCTTTTAATTTTTTTATAAATCAATCTGATAGATTCTATCTATTATTTAGATATCTATCTATATATTCTATATATATATATATATATATATTTCAAACTTCTATCTATCTATCTAGTCTTTACTGTATAAATATATGAATTATAAATATATAATGTATTTATACTAAATATATACTATTTATATATCAAATCCCTTTTCATTAAACTGTCTCTCTCATATGATCAATGTATTTTATAAATATATATATATATATATATATTCATATATAATTATATATATATATAAGAAATATATAAGTATCATTATATATATATATATATTTCATATATTTAGAGTTATAAAACATATATGTTAAATATATATATATGTTATATATAAAATTAAAAGATATGTTGTGAAATTTATTTGTGTGTGTATTTTGTTTTGAGATTTTGAAGAAATATTTTACAATTTTAAAATTTCAGAATCTGAAGTTATTAAGAGAGGTTACCAACATTCAACAGAATTTATAGATATTATGATTAATAAATATATGATGTTATTTTGACCAAACATTTAAAAATCATCTATTATTTCTCTAAATTTTGTTTTATTTATTTTTTATTGATGTTGAAATTTTTTCTTTTATATTTAAAAATATCTAAATATCTTTTATCTTTTATTAATTTAATGTTTATTATTTAAATCAAGCCTATCTAGAATTCTATCTCATCTATCTATCCCAATCTTTTCAAACGTTCCATATCTATCTAAGAAATCATGGAAATTGAAATCTATCTATTCAAAATCTATCTATTTATCTTCATTAATATCCTTATCTCTCTATTAATGAATGAGATACCTGAAGGATATATATCTATCTATCTATAGACAGAGTATCTGAGATTTTTCTTTCTATTAGATTTTAATCTTTTATTGATCTATCATATCTAACAATTTTATTTTGTCTATCCCAATCTATCTATCTTCTTATCTATTTTTTGATCATTTCGTTTATATATGTCCTCATCTTCAAACATTTATCTATCTATTTATCTATCTATCTAATTCATCTATAATATCTATCTATCTATTCATTTTATTTTAGACTATTAGAACATCCCAATTATCTATTATCTATCCATATCTATTTGTCCCAATCTATCTATCTATCTATCTTTCTATCTATCAACTCTATCCATTTATCTATCATTTCTCATTCTTTCATTTCATCTATCTATCTATCTATTCATTCTATCTATCTAAACATGTTCATTATCTCATCTATTCATTAATTCTATCTATCTATCTATTATCTATCTATTCATCTATCTATCTATCGTCTTCTATTTATCTATCATCTATCATTCATCTATTCATCTATCTATCCGATAGTTTTAGTAGTAAGTTCTCTGATTGATGACAAATCGGTCGAGTTTCGATCAACGGCTTGAAGCAATCGGACGCCCAGCGTAGGACCGTGGATCATTATGACGTTCTTAACTGCGCGGTCACGTAGGGATTTACGCTCAAACAATTTATATTGAGTTTTTGGTTTCTGTTTTTTAAAACATGGTAATTCCTGTGTTGCGATAGAACCATATTTTTAAATCAGTTAATATATATATATATATATATATATATATATATATATATATATGAAGCTTGAAAAATGAAGTTCATTTACTTTGCTCTTTGTATATATTAGTGTTTGTTGGAGTTTGTGTGTTGTTTCTGCGTGCAAGCACTTGTATTCGTGTGTTAATGATCATCTGTGTGTGCGTGTGTGTGTGCATGTGAGTACGGATGAATGTGTATATTGGTGTGTGTCTGTGTGCTTGTATTTGTGTGTTTTCCTCCTTGTCACTTTCTTTTGAAGCCATGTTTGCAACGTAACAATTACGCTGAATTAGTCCACCGATATTACGAATGGGTTTAAGGTATATCTGATTGCCATTATCAAATGCTGCCGCCTCAGACAAAAGCTCTCATAATGAACCATTCAAAAGCCCACATCAATGACACGCTATGACAGATACATTCCCCTTAGGACTTCCATACTTGCAATTTTTGGCACACAAAAAAATACAAACTACAATGTGCCTATATATTTGTCAAGATATGTACGTTACACTCAATATAGCAGTTATGTCTGTAGTAGTGTCTCCACTCTGAAACCATATCTATCTATCTATCTATCTATCTATCTCTCACTCTCTCACTCACTCACTCTCTCTCTCTCTCTCTATATATATATATATATACGCACAGACAGAGGGTGCGATGAATAAATTGTCGTCTAATTTACGTAAAAATTAACATAACATTGACATCTCATTTTAAAAGATATATTTATCAAAATTGCACAAAAATATCTTGAAATAAAGAGTAAAATTATTCCATAAA